TGTTGTTTTTTTTTCAAGTCTTTAAAATAAGGGAGTTATGACGATTTTCGAAAAACAAAAGAACGCCAATTACGTCGAATCCGGGCACCAAATCAAAAATTTGAACTAAGAACAGTTGTTTGTTTTAATGACTTCTAACTGCCGTTTTCGAGTGTAACGACTTAGTATTAACACCCTGTATAATAAGTTGTAACTAAGTAGCGATGCCTTTGATCAAACTGGTTCGGATATAGACGGCAATGGCGTAACAATCAAACTCAGTGATACGTAAAGTGAATTTTTAACCAAAAATTTAGAGGCGAATTGCTTTGTGAATTCATTGTTGTTAATGTTAAGGTACGAGGTCTGACAATGAAATGAGATTGATTGTAAAAAACTCGTATATGAAAAACTTAAGGTACATAAATATGATCTCCTTCAAATAGCTCCCCTTGGGCAGCTACACAATGGTTTCAGCGAGGTTTCCAGTTTCTTCTGGAAGGCTTCAACTGGTAGCGCCTCGAGTACCCTCGTCACAGGCTTTTGCATATCAGTTATCGGCTCGAAATGCGTTCCTTTCACGATTTGTTTGAACCGGGGGAACAGAAAAGTCACACGTTGACATATCTGGCGAATATTAGGGCTGGGGCAACCTCGGGGGCAACAATGAAATGTTTTTTGAAGTCAAAAACTGCATCACGCTGAAGACACGATGACATGGTGCATTGTCGTGGATCCATGTGCCTGCGATTTCTGGACGGACTCTAGCGACTATTGTTTCGCAACCGTCTAAGTACTGCGATGTAGAATTCTTTATTTACGGTCTGGCCAGGTGCTACAAACTCCTTATGTACCACACCGTTACTATCAAAGAAGCAAATCATATCGTTGTATTAATTTTTGATTTGCTCATTCTTGTTTTGTTTGGCCTTGCTGAACCAGGAGACAGCTACTGTTGACTTTGTCGCTTTGTTTCAGGATCCTAGTCAGGATCATACTGAAAAAAAACCAACTCTCGTCGCTAGCAATGACACGGTTTCCAAAGCCACAGAAGGTACGAAGATGTTCAAATTAGTGAAACCATGTGTTATCATTATCATACTTGAAAGAAAAAAACCAGACAATTCCGATTACTTCCGAACTTTTAATTTTTTTATGTTACTTGAGCAGATACAAAAAAAAATATGTTATACACTTTCTCATTGCCACTATTTGGGTTCTACAAAACACCGCTGAGAGATACAACGTTTCGTTTCGGATAAATCATCATCATTTTTGACTATATAAGGCATACAAAAAACAAAATAAGAGTTGGAAACGAGGTTGGAAACTGTTGGTTTCAACAGGATGGTGCACTCGCGCACAAGACTCTAATCGTTCGAGATATCTATCTGTAAAATGTCCTGGAAAATGGAATATTTGTTCCTGGAAACCGCGGATGTTCATTGATAGCCCGTGGATTTCTGATTATGTTTAAAAACCGAGAGACCATCCATTACTGGCATTTGGTGTACACTTTGTTGGCATTACAACAATTTTGGCAGTAACAGAATTAATAAGCATTAATTGAACATTGATAAGCAGTAACTGGCACTGGTACTGATTACTGAACGTGTCCAATCAAGGCTAGGTACTCTCGATTTGGTTTTGAAACATTGCATCAAAGATTCAACCACTATTTCCGAGCATTCAGCTGTTACGACACGTGTGACGCATTATTCAATAATTATTGTGTTTAGTGATTTGCTTGGTGCTTTGTTGTGTATTAGAACTTTGCCATAAAGTACAGAATTCTCATTTTGCGCACACTTCTGTACCGTGTGTCCTATTTTGGTTAAGACTGCAGTATCTCGGCTGTTTTTAAAGATTGAGACTTGTGGTTTGCCACCTTTTTTGTGGCATTAAAAAATGCCACAAACAGAATCAATCTAGTTACGTTTGTTTCTGAGATACAGGGTGCAAACGAAAAGTTTGACTTTTAGGACGTTATATATCCTCGTATATATCTTACTGTTCATGTAAGATACAAGAAGGGTTTAGAATGTTTAGATATTTCTACATAGAATGCAGTGGCGTAGACAAAAACCGTTCCTGAGATATGTTCCAACGTAGGCATTTTTATTTTATACACCACCCTGGATACCGTTACGTTAATTTTTTGCATTTTTTCCTGATTATATTGGTGTATCGCAACCTATACTTTTTTTTATTTGATTCCTATATTTTCTATTATACTCGCACTATATTTTGCAAAATTCTGTAATGACATTCTACCGTCAGCAATTTTTATTGATTGGTCTTAGTTCCCATGGATACAATAAACAAAACAAAATTTCCATGAATACATGGCCTAGGTATTATAAATCTGCAAAAAAAAAGCTTTTATTTTTGGTTCATGGTTAAAATTTAAAACAAAATATAGGTTGTGATACATCAATGTAATCAGGAGAAAATGCAAAAAATGGAAGTTAAGATATACAGGGTTTTGCACTTAAAAAATACCTCGAAAAATACCAACTTTGGGTTAAATCTCAGAAACAGTGGCGCTACATTTTTTTACTACGCCACTGCGTAAAAATGTCTAAAATAGTCAGTTTTTACCTTTTTTTGCTATCTTACATGGATAGTAAGATAGGTATGGTATGATACCGTCCCAAACAGTCAAAACTTTTCATTTTCACCCTGTATCTCAGATTGATACTGTTTGTATGACATTAAAAGTTTTACAAAAGGCACATGGTCGGGAAAACCCTCGGAAAACCAGAGGGAAACCACAAGTCGAGCCACAAGTCTCTATATCTTTAAAAACAGCTGAGATACACTAGTCTCAACCAAAATAGGACACGGTCCATATTACCACAGATTAACTACAAAATCTGTAATATTCCAAATACTTTAAAATGTAATGCTGTAACAACCTAAGGATGCAATATAATATGTCGAATTATTACAATAGTGGCTTATCTGGGATCTGGCCCAATCGACTGGTTTGATTGGTCGAAATTGTCCTCCGGTCCCGGCTAACTGGGCCTGTAATATTTTGAGTTGTCCAATTTAAATACGTCTATGTTTTCTGCTTATAACAGAATAATTATGATAATTTAAGCGAAAGCACAAAAAATACAATCAAAGCCTACTTTCCCAATAATTCAAAAAACAACAGACTTTATAATCTTCTGGCAATTTTCCCGCACGCTTTAGGAAAGTTGACTTAGGAAAGTTACAATAAACGAATACACCTACTTTTGATTAATTACCTAAAGTTTATTCCGATAAAAACTAAGCAGGATTCTGAATTCGAACAGGGGATGGCTTAGAAATGCGCGGGTCGCTGTCACCCCAGATACGTACCGTACCTGCATGACCAAGATTGCATCGGCTTCCTTTAATTATCTACAACTGATAGGATTATCTTATCATTCATTGGGCAAGTGCAGCACTAGCCATTTCAGTCGCAAAAATCGGTAGATTTTCAATGGTGTTTGTAACCTCGACATTGACATTTACAACGCCCCCCTCTTATTAAATCGCCGTGTTCACCCCAAATAAAGCAATCGCTTACTAGATCTCAGAAACGCTTACTTCAAGTAATAAAAGTACGCCCGTATCGAACGTAAGTGAGACGATAAGGTGCTCAAATAAACAAATAAAAAGAAAATCGAAACCGTTAGGTGAACTTACTTGTTAATTTATCGGACTCCTAATTTCAAGTTTGTTATATGGAATGCTCAACTTAATTTTGACCAAACAAGAATCTTCTTGCACCAACTGTCACCGACTTGTTCACTTTGAGCGATTTTTTTGCAAATGTACACATAGCTACACTCCATAGCTGCTACTTGAAGTCGCGCACTTTTAGTTAAAACATCTTTACACCTCATTAGGTAGGCAATATTGGGTCATGTTTTTTTTTTGGTACCGTATTTCACACGCAAAACAAGTTTTGTTGCTCTCAGAGAGCAACAACCCTGAGACTTCTCGCAAGTTCGTGCAGCGCAGGACTTCACGCCCGGCTTGGCGATCGCCAATGGCAGCCCTTCCGTATTTACGGTAGGCGACGAGAGTACGCGAACGCGATAACGGAGGAAAGTTTTACAATCCGAATTTGCTTTTATAATGTTCCACAAATTTTGTTTATTAGTTTATTTTTAAATGGGAAACTTTTTCTCTTTACTTTACGTCCTGTACGTTTAATTAATGATTGCTACTCCGAAGGCGGCACGGCCTCAAAGTAATAGGAACTGCTCGTGGCAGTGTTGACTTTGAAAGCCGCCAAATTGTTCCCTAATCGATAGTTGGGAAAATTAAGTAAACAATAATCATCGTCCGTTGCAGGGGAAAAATTGACTAAACTAAAACTCATT